ACATACAGATAAAAAATTACCCTTCACAGATGGGGCTTTATCACACCCTTCAGACAAAAATATTTGCTTTACATCATAGAGGAAAAAGAGTTACTCTAACCTTGGTGTTCCCGAAGATATCCAATCCTTTAACGCCAGAAAAACAAAAAAAAATCGCCAGAAGCAAAATTATAATTTCTATATTCAGCATTTACATTGACTCAAAACTTGAAAAGTAAACAGCAAATTGTATCCACTGTCAGAGTAACTGCAGATATCCACAGAATACTGATTTGTCCCAATAATAATGTATAGGACAACAACTGAAATTAGGAATATTAAGAAGTTCCTCATTATTGCATTTTAACTGGTATCAGGTTGATATATTTGTGCTTCTATCCTGTACAAAGGCAAGCTAGTTTCCTGGAGTTGCCTGCATAAATTTAAGTTTCTAAATTTGAAAGCTTTACATGCAAAACTATTCAGAAAATTCCAGAAATCACTGATTTAAAAAAAWTAATAAAGCAAATAAAATATACTGCAAATTGCCTAAATGGAATTCAATAGGAATTTGATAAAAGCCACCTCCAGATTTTTACTGCTGCACTAAAAACTTCAGTGCATAGTCAAAAAAACCACACAGGGACTGAACTCTTATTCAAATGTAGCTGGCTATTCACAGTACAGCTGTCACTTTTACTTTGTCCATCAAAATAATCTGTAATTCTTTTAGAGCAAGCAGGTAAGGCACCTCTGAACATAAARAGGAGCAAAAAGCCAAGTGCCACATTCCCTGCTGGTGACAGAGTGTTTCTGGTAGCCAGGAGACAAGGTTAAAATARGAAATGCACCAAGGCACCTACCCTCCAACCCCTAAATGCAAATCTGTTACTGGTAGGAAAGTGATGCAGCATGATGGTTACAAATATGAGGGACGAGAATCTGTTTGATTTCCCATTGCATTCACTTCAAAGACGCCAGCAGCCGCCTTTGCCACTGGTGAAAATCAATGTMAAACAGTAAGATAGACAGCTTGGTTTGCTCTCACAACTAGCTCACCCACAAGGTAAGCAAAGCAGCAATTACATCAACTGAAAGAGTAATTACATCCACTCAGAGAGCAGAACAGAAGTGTGAGGACTGCACAAATCAAGCAGCAAACTGTTTGAGCACTGAAATGTCACACTCTGCCCTGCCAAGTCACAGACAAGTTTGATCCTGCCTTGCAGATAAAGACAAAACCAGCAAGATTAGCAGCATTAAAACAAAAACAACAACCCAACAATTAAAAAGCTCGGTAAACTTCCTATTACACCAATGCAAATAGCCACAGACTATGAAAACAAGCACTCCAAGAGACCTAGAAAAATAACACTTTTATTATGTGGTGCCACAACAGGAGAGCAATGTGCTTGRAGAGGAATGAATAAATAAATAAAACCTCTCAGATCAAATTTTATCAGGTATAGCACCATCCAAAATCACCTGACCAGAA